TGAGTCGAATTAAAGGTGAAGAGCATGATACAACCTTTGGCTTGAACACCAAAGCGGTGGTGATACCGGCGTAGTTCCGTCTAGGCAACTTATTGCGTGAGCGGCGTGCGTTGGTGTTCAAAGATCCGTAACGAAAATCGTGACCTAGAGCTTCTAGTTCTGCTAAGACAGTAGTTAACTTTTGCTGGGCCAGATGGGGTGGAGTGTGAACAAGACGACAGGAACAGCGTCATAACTACATAGTTACTGTGAAAAGAATGGAACGACGCAATTGAGTTGAAGGTGAAAGTGATCCACTACTGCGTCGGCTATCTGATAAGCGTCACCCGGTGATTAGTTAAATCGATATGAAAATATCTTGCACTGTTTCTGGTAAATGCTGTAACCAAAGTTTGTGCGGTAAAGTCTCGTCCCTCCATGAAGTACCAAGCAACTGGCGCATCTCGCTCAACAACATAAAGGACTTTTTTCACCCAACTGCAGACCTTGAAAGAGCTACTGTAGGTGAGTCCGCTCCGATGGTGTGACTCTGTTTAGGACGACATAGGGTTTCGTAGCGTTTCTCGATATCAGGATAAATTAACGGATCCCTGAGTCACAGTGTCACATTGGTATATAGGCAAGCGACTAACTGACTACACGTAGGTGAATCTGAGGTAATTGTATGGCTGATGAATTTGGGCTCTGACAACAAGAACCAGGACTGTAGATCGCTGCTTGTAAAAGGAGAAACGGAAATCATGACGGCGTTGTAAGCAGGGTCCACCGCAACGAGACTGGACCTTATCGTTGTGCGATGGTTTGCATACCTCCGTGACCCATTGAGCTACGCTGGGTGGTACTTCCTAAGTGCCTTCAGAGCCACTCCTATCAGACTGGTCAATGGTTAGGGGTCAGACTAGCGCAGTCTCACAGCCCAATCCTCTTCGGAGGTTAGGGTGAGGTCGGTGACCCTTTTCTTTAAAACCTTGCCATGGGAGGCAACAGGTCTACGGGTTATAAGCTCATAGCTCGTTTGACGTAGAGCACGAGCACCACGCATTATCTCTGACGGTGGGACGGCACCCCCGCGGTGCGCAATGCTTTGCTACTGCCCGCCACAAGCCACGCAGCCTCTGGTCAAATTGGTGCAAACCCGCTAACTCCCACCTGCGGCTGGCCTTGGTCGCAGTTGAGTGAAGTAATACTATCGTAAAACATATGTGAATTGGCCCAAATCCTCAAAATCTGTGTGACAGGCTCCAAGCAGATCCAAATCGGTCTCTGTAATCACACTTCCTAGCTGGACTTGCTCCCCACTGCCTTGTGGGTCAGGCTGTTGAGTCTAAGGCTCCGAGTGGAGTCCCTCAATCAAACCTCCAATTTTCCCACTGCTTTACGGGTCCGACTGTTGCGTCAAAGACTAAAGGCAGGGCATCTCGCACAAAGTCCCTTTCTCGGAATGAGCAGCCGGAGAGTATCATCTGCTCTCTTAACCACGTTGACAATTCTCCCTCTTCTTATTTTTCTATCCCCTCCAACTCTCTTCTTCCTTGTCTATTGAGCAAGTATCTGCCGCTGACCTCGCTGCCTCTGCCATCGATACTCGTAGTTCGTCCATCAAACCACGAGTCTCATTTCTCATTGTTTCTTTTAATGTCCGCACTCTGGGTCAGATCGGTCAACAGGCAGCGGTGACTTTCACTTACTTGATATTGATGTGTGCTGTGTCTGAAACACGCATACAACGTTATGACGAATCTTCAACTCTCTGGTTCTGAGTCTGACGATAATGACTACATTCTTCGCGTCTCTGGAGATACCGAGTCAATTACTCAAGTCATTTACGGTGTTGCTATTGCCCTCAGCAGAAATGCTGAAGGTAATCTACTCGGCAGGATACCGGTGAACAGACGCATGTGTGCTGTTCGACTTCGAACGTCTGTTAGGGTTAATAAGCACCGTATGAAGACAAGGTGCCTTTTCATCGCCTCCATTTATGCTCCTACTGACTGCAGCTCGGAGGGTACCAAAGATGATTTCTGCTACCATCTTTCATCTCTTTTCCACCTGATGAAGAATACTGACATCGTGATTGTTGTCGGTGACTTGAATGCCCAAGTGGGTCATCTTTCAGACTCTAAACAACATCTGGGATGGCGCTGCGAAATCGATGCACGCCGAACAGACAATGGTGATCAATTTCTGCAACTGCGCTGACCACAATCTTTGTATTAGCAGCGCTGCTTTCAAACATGAATGTTCACATCGCGTCACCTGGTGCCCGCCGAATTCCTCAATGACCTGGACCCAAATGAACCATATTGCCATCAGCTCCAAGTGGCGCATATCAGTCCAAAACTGTCGGTCGATTTGGAGCACATGCCTGGATTCTGACCATGCTCTAGTGCGCGCACTCTTGGCGCTCACTCTTCCCACTTCAAAGAAGCGCCTATCTTGTATCATTCTTACCTGTAACTTGAACTCGCAGTCTGCGATTCACCAGTATCATAACGAACTGGCCCACCAATCATCAGTGATGAATGAGGTTGATGAGCCGAACAATGACTGGGATAGTCTCAAGTGTGCCATAAAAATGCCTTTGACGCTTGTTGTGCACCAGACTTGAGACATGGTAACTTTGAATGGATCTCTGGTGCGTCGATCAGTTTGATCGAAGAGCGTAAACGGGTTCCGATTAGCACTGCATTTCAGCCTATCCGTAACTCACTGAAACGAAGTCTAACAAGAAGTCTTCGAGTTGACCGGAAACCTTGGGGGGTTGCAAAGGCTCCTGAGATGGGGAAGACCAGCGCTATTGAAAACAGCAGGGTGCTATTTCAGCTCATCCGGGACACCGGTTCGAGAAAGCCGTCAGTTAGCGAGACTGTGGCTGTGAACGATGGTCTGTTGATCCAATCTCAGCGTCGTTGACCAGCCCGTTGGGCGGAACATTTTGAGGAGCAGTTCAGCAGGCCTGCTGTGACGCTGCGGCTTACCGAACCACCTGAGCCGATGTAGGAAGTTGATGTCACACCAACCTCGTAAGAGATTCGACATGAGCCGCCATGTTGAAACGAAACAAGGCTAAGGGATCCGACGACCTTTCTCCATCTTTGCTGAAAGATGGCGGTGCCTCTTTGTTGACTGGACTTGCTTCACTTTTTAACACGATTTGGGACACTGAAGAGGTGCCTTCAGACTGGAGACTATCAACTGACGTGCCCATCTTCAAGAGAAGTCAACATATTTTATGCGAAACTCATCTAGACATTAGCCTTATTTCCATCACCAGAAAACTTTTCACGGGTATCATTTTTCGGCGACTTACTGGTACCCGTAAGAACCGAATCACTGAAGGCTAGGCTGGCTTCTACCCTGGCCGTGGTTGCATCGACCACATATTTACTATTCGACAGCTGTTAGAGCATACACACTTGCAGACGATCGACTATGGTGGTTTTCCTTGACTTGAAAGCCGCCTTCGACTCCGTTGACCGCACCAAATTGTGGCGCTGCTTATCCATGAAGGGCGTACCAGCTAAACTCTTTTCCATTCTGAAGTCCATCTGCCGTTGTTCCCGAGGCCGTGTAAGCGTCTACGGGTAACATTCTCCTGACTTCCCCACGACAAGTGCGGTTATCCTGGGTTGTCCTATATTTCCTTTCCTCTTCAACTTTGTGATCGAAATGATCATGAATTACTCGGTTCTTTCAGACTATTCTGGAGTGGGAGTTCTGTCAGACGACCGACTGACATACCTGGAGTATGCGGACGACATAGCCCTCCTTGCGTCCGATGCATTAGCTATGCAAACACTTGCACAGACTTATGCGTGACGCTGCACGGTTCGGCATGTACTTTGCGCCTTCAAAGTGCTGTTGCAGCACTAAGCCGATACACCTATGCTTTTAGCTATTTCCGGACAGCCACTGGAACTGATGGATCGGTTCACTTACATTGGTAGCTCTCACCTCTGGTGGTCACATCACTGAGGAACTTACTTCGCGTATCAGCATGGCCTGAGTGGCTTTCCAGAGGCTCGACCATTTGTGGAGACTGTGGGATAGCATCTTGTCAGTGAAAGCTTGGGTGTATAACGCTGCGGTAAGTCCAATTTTATTGTATGGATCGGAGACATGACCAGTTCGCCATGACGACATTAAACGTTTGGTCGTGTTTGACCACCGGTGCTTGCGAAGTATTGCTCACGTTTGGTGGGAACACCGAGTGAGCAACGCTGAGGTCGGCCAGTTTGTTTTTGGCAAGAAGCCTTCTGGTTCCTCACTCGAGTTTGTACTGTATCTTTATCGCTTACGTTAGCTAGGCCATGTCCTCCATATGTTCGTTGACCGTCTTCCTCAGCGTGCATTACACTTCGTGGCTGCACCAAGTTGGGCGAAACCTCGAAGTGACCAGTCCACGATATGCATAGAGGCTTGAAGAAATGGTTTTCGGTGTAGCTCGCCTCCAACACTGCACTCCACGACCGGTTTCATCCTCCTTTGGACTCAGCAGGTAGATAGCCTGAATTGGAAATGGAACTTGGGCTATGCTAATTGACAGCTTGATATCTGTGATTACATTGCATGTGTGACCGTTTGACTCTAAGTTAATGCCAGTTGCTTATTTGTTTGACCACTGCAGCGATCGAACAGCGTGTCCCCGATTTTTATTAGCATCGCGTTTATTTGTCTATTATCCAGCATCCCGAAGGACTATCTCCCGATGCTTAGCCTCTACTTAACTCTTGGTTTGCGCTCATTTCTCTGAAACCATTTTATTTAGTGTTTCATATCTCGATGTCGATCTTTACCATTTTCGCTAATCCGAGTATCTGCACTTTGGCAGGATAGATTGTTAATTGTCTTTGCTTACGTACTTAAGTATTCCGAGAGTAACTTGTACACTACTGCTTCTAAAGACATTTACTTTTCGACCTGCGTTAGCTTTTCATGCATTTATTTTAGAATCTCCCACACTATACTCTTTGTTGTTGATTCCTTTCCCTCCACTACAGCATCATAACTACAGAACATATTTTGGTATCACCTGTCTCATCCAACTGAGCACAATAAGCATGGACTATGTACTTGATGCACTGGCTTTGCGGGACCACCTGTATAAACTCAATGAGATATTTACCAATCCGAAAATAATCAAGGTAACTTAACTCCAAGGACGCTGACAGTAAGGTGGTCGGTATTTACTACCCTTGTTTTTTTTACCGTAGTACATGCCCAGTTATATTCCTCTAATCTCTGCTGGTAACATGACCTATTGTGAGTTTTTATATATCAACTATTTGACGGATCACTTTCGAACCTAAAACTGCTACCTGATGTAAATGTTTTATGCAGCACCAAAGTCCCTTTGGTCTGGTTTTACTGCGCTCACATCCTTTACCGTACACACCATCATGTGTACCTAGACAATGGACTCTACTTTTCTATGCGACTGCGATCTACATGTACAGTATCACTTGGTCATCATAGTTTTCTGTTTTGATGAGGTCGACCCAAATAATGCTCACAATTTGCCAGATAAGTACTCACTGGGCGTACGCCTTTTTGCTTTTCTTTAACACTGCGCTTGTGTGCTCTGCTTAAGGCTGTTATCCCCTTCCGTGTTCTATGAAACTGGTGCCCCGCCTTGCTAAATTGCAAACTACCAGCCGTCGCAACGAGACTGAACCTTAACGTGGTGCGACGGTTTGCGTACCTCGACCCCTTGAGCTATACTGGATGCGGCCTGTGGGCATCTTGAGTGATACTCCTACCAGGTTGGTCAATGGTGAGAAGTCAGATAAACTCAGTCCCCTGGTCCTCCAACTTGGAGGTTTGAAATGGGATGGCGTTCATTTCTTTAAAACTAAATTATTGCCACCTCCCTGCTGCCTTGCGGACAAGCTTTTGAGTCAAAGGCTTTGGATGAAGACCCTAATCGTCCTCCTGTTCAGGTCTGGGCACCTGGCAGTATTCCAGCCCACATACAATCATGACTTTTTCTTCAAACGTAAACTTCATCCTTCATCGGCCGTCGTGCAGATTATCAAGAGTCGCCTTATCTGCTGCATGCAGCAGGGCGGATAAGCGAAAACATGCTACTGCTGGCGCCTCCCTTCTTTCTTTTCCACCTGTTTCACTGACTCCCATCCAGACCTCCATTATTAACCTTCCTTTTATAATTCCCAGCTTAATTGACATCAACCGAAGTGCCACTGGAGTAGAACCATCTGCAGCCACCTCGCGATACGCACCGGACGCCTATCGGCAACAGTCCCTTATAAGGCCACGCTGTCCCGTTTCCATGGCGACGTTCAACGTTCGCACTCTAAGACAAGTAGGTCAACAGGCTGCACTCGCACGCACCTTGGACACACTGGGTATTGATGTGTGTTTTGTGTCCGAAACTAGGATCAATGATCCTAATGGGGTTGTTGAACTAACTGCACCCGGCTTGTCCTCTCGTTATTGGTTGCACGCATTCGGAGACACCGATGCAGCACTCACGGGTCAAGCTGGTGTAGGTATCATTCTAAGCTCCAAGGCTGAGCCATTTTTGGTTGATTGGATTCCAGTGAACAGCCGTTTATGTGCAGCCCGTTTGACGACATCAGCCAAGATTGATTTACGAAGTAGTATAAAACCTTGTTTGTTTGTGGTTTCCCCTTATGCTCCCACCGAATGCAGTTCAAATGCTTTCAAGGACACATTCTATCACGAACTGAAAGCGTTGCCACACAGTGCTACTAGTTCAGATGTAGTAGTTTTAGGGGATATGAACGCATAAGTAGGGCGTCTAAGCTCTTCAGTAGCCCATTTGGGTGGTAATTATGGGTTTAACTCCGAACGGACTGACAACGACGAGCGTCTGCTACAACTGTGTGGCTCGTTGGGCGGAACACTTTCAAGATCAGTTCAGCTGACCCCCTGCTGCCCGGACCTCTTCCTATTCAAGTCATGCAGGACGAGCCATGGACAATTAGTTTAGAGCCTCCGTCGGAGGCCGAGGTCCGAAACGCGATCTTAGTCTTTAATCCTTTTCTTGCTGCTGGCCCGGATTCCCTCCCACCTGCACTATTTAAGGATGGAGGTGAGGTCCTCTGCAAAGCACTGACCTCCCTATTCGAACGTATCTGCAAGGAAGTGTCCCGGCTGATTGGAGCGAATCGATTATAGTTGCAGTATACAAGATGGGCAGTCGCACAGACTGTTGTAACCACAGGGGTATTCGCCTAACGCCAGTTGTGACAAAATTATTGGCCTCGATTATCGTCGCCTCACTGCGAAACGGGAATCTCGTATTAGGGAAGAGCAGGCCGGTTTCCGCCCAGTGCGTTGCTCTATAGATCATATATTCACTTTGCGTCAGGTGCTAGAGCAGCGCCACGTATACCGCAGACCGACAATAGCTGTGTTCCTCGATTGCAAGAAGGCGTTCGATTCAGTCGACCGACCGATTCTGTTCGAAATACTTGCTCGGAAAGGTGTTCCCACGGAATATGTGAACATCCTACTTGCTCTATACTCGAACACTACAGGCCGCGTCTGGGTCTACGGTGGCCTATCGGATAGCTTTCCGACCACAAGTGGCGTTCGTTAGGGTTGTCCGATTTCCTCACTTCTGTTCAATTTCGTCGTGGATTTTATCATGGAGTGTTTCCTTGCAGAATCTCACGATGTAGGCGTTGAAGTGCTGCCTAGTGAAAGATTAGTTTATCTTGATTATGCGGACGATATCGTCTTGCTTTTCGACGATGTTGCGGTGATACAATCAACCCTGAATAGCCTTTTCAGAGTGATCCCATTATTGGGTATGCACTTTGCACCTTCAAAATGCAAAGTGTTGCTGCAAGACCAGCAGCCACTTGATGACACCATGGTCCTTGCTAACGAGGAACTCGAGGTGGTTGATCAATTCACTTATCTTGACAGCTGCATCAGCAATGGTGAGCGTATAGAAACTAACGTCAGCTCACGCATTGCAAAATCCAGAGCTGCCTTGAACCTGCGGCATCTTTGGCGACAGAAGGAAGTTTCCCCTCATCTGAAAGGCCGTGTATACAAGGCCACAGTGAGGGCCGTTCTGCTCTATGGCAGTGAGACTTGGCCCCTTCGGTCTGAAGATCTGAGGTGCCTTCATGTCTTTGATCATCGTTGTCTGCGAAGCATTGCTGGTGTCGGATGACACCAGCTTGTCCGCAAGGATGACGTGCGTAGGCGAGTACTAGGTAGTGATAAACATGCTAGCTCCCTAGATCAACAGACAGCACTGAATAAGTTGCGTTGGCTCGGGCACGTACTACGTATGCTTGGTCACCGCTTACCTAGGAGGGCCTTGTTTAGTCTGCCAAGTGTAGGGTGGCGCAAGGCTCGAGGTGGACAGTAGTTGACTTGGTAGCGGGAAATGAAGTCACTGACGACCAAACTGGTTGCCGTTGGTCCGTCTCTTCTTCCGGGCTGGAGTCCACGTGACTCGCCTTGTGCTTGGCTCGAGAGTTTGCAGGACATACTTCTCAACCGACACCAGTGACGCGTCTGCTGCCGTCTGCTAATCGGATTGCCTGTTTAAAGTGTGTTTGGTGCTGAGTTATCTGCTGGGTAATGCTGATTATGACGCGTGGCAGTGAAAGCCGCAAGGAAGCTGTCTCGCCGATACCGCCTTATCTTTGCACGATAGCCAGCTGTTTGTGACGATATGTTGTCTACACAAGGTGTAGGCGTCTTGACCCTGAATGTTTGCTTAGGGCATTAAGGTTTTTAGGTAAGTCCCCCTTCTCTCCCTCTTATTCTTTATTTCATATATCCTTATTTTTGTATGGCAGCGAAGCATCAGTTCAAATGCCTGATATACTCCTGTTGTTGTTATTTTGTTGTCAGCCGAACTTATGGCATTCAATTCTGAGACCGCGTTTCTCTACCTTGTACGATTTTTTTCGACGACAGTCCTCTCGAAAATGATCTTATTTGGTCATGTCCCAGAATAATCCGATGAACACAACTAAAAGACAAGGGTCTTGATTAAATGATTTAATCAAGCTATTATCGGTCTTCTTTCTGAAGAGAGCCTCAGACTTGGCAACCATCGCACAGTCAACTACACTCTTGTATTTGACTACTTTCATCCAACCTTTTTCTATCCATCCGATGACTATAACTTTCTTCTCAGTATTCTCTTTGTGCTTTCGCTTATATGCTTACCTCTATCGCTTTTGTTGTCGTGATGGCACGGTTCACCACGATTGAATCCACCCCGTTTCCGTGTTTAAGCCACCGGTATCTTAATAAACTGACCCGGCCATGTAACGTGTTGCAGTTGGTCGGTCGTTAACGCTTTTGAATTTGATAGCTTGCTTTCGTTTTTGTTTGACTTCGTAATTTTTGCCTCATTCGCGTTTCTCTCTTCAGTTTCCTCCTTACCATCGCCAGTCACTATTATCGGGTGCTATAAACGATTATCGCATCGATTTCGAACGTTCCGGAATGTTCTTCTGCGCGTGATTAAAAACCACCTGACACCTGGGCAAAAGATAGGGGGAACCACTGACCTTGGTAGTTGACCTTCCAATTCCAGAAGTCGAAGGTCAGTAGAGACCTATAAATACAGCCAAGGTCCGCAGCCGTTGTACAGTGTTCGTTGGCGGCGATTAATACATCATTTTGTCAAGGTCATTGGCGTTTTGTTTTTTCCTTTGGTTGGGCTAGCAGTTTTGTGGAGCAATGAGTTGTTATTTTTGGAGTTGCGTCTAGTGAGAAGATTATAACAAATGGCGACGGAGAAAATTGGAAATGTGATGAATTTTTCTGCTAAACAATTTCGAAAGCTGCTTTTTCAACAGCAAGCTCAAATGGAGGCACAAATGAAAATGATTGAAAATCTGACACAATGCTTGAGTTTGCAGACAACAGGAGCAGCGGCGCGGGACACGCAGGCGAGTTCTGTTGATCTTCTCACGAACGCGATCACTGAATTCAATTATGATGCGGATTCTGGATGCACCTTCAAAGCGTGGTTCAAGCGCTAGGAAGACATGTTCCAGACGGACTTCATTCGTCAAGACGACTCCTGGAAGGCTATTTCAATACAACCGCTTGCCATTTGGTGTGAAAACGGCGCCAGCCATCTTCCAACAGTTGATGGATACCATGCTAGCGGACGTTTCTGAAACCGCTGCATATCTGGGTGATATCATAGTGATGGGCCGAACATCGGAAGAACTGTTTAACCGACTGGATGAAGTGCTTGGTTGCATACAGTCGTCCGGTTTCCGAATCCGTGAGGATAAATGCACATTTTTCACGCCGATCATCAAATACCTCGGTTTTATCCTCGGAAAGGATGGACATCGAACAGACCCAGAAAACATAGATGCCATTAGAAAAATGCCTCCGCCAACAAATCTACAGTCCTTGCGTTCCTTTTGTGGGCTTCTCAGCCACTACAGGGCATTCTTGCCTGAGACGCACCGCCTGCGTGCCCCGTTAAACAAGCTACTAGACAAAGGCCAAAGATGGAACTGGACATCAGAATGCCTTCGAACGGGTCAAGTCACTGCTGTCCTCAAACTTGCTTTTTGACTCATTTGATCCCTCCAAGGAGATTGTCTTGGCCACAGATGCATCAAGTCATGGGATTGGTGCAGTGATATCACACACCTGCGCCGATGGATCTCAGAAAGCAATCGCCCATGCCGCCAGAACACTTACGAAGGCCGAGAAGAATTACAGCCAGATTGAGAAAGAAGCATTGGCCATAGTGTACGCAGTCAAGAAATTCCACAAAATGCTATACGGCCGCCGCTTCAAGCTTCTGACACGTCACAAGCCCTTGCTGGCTATCTTTGGTTCGGAAAAGGGCATTCCGGCCTACACAGCCAACCACCTACAACGTTGGGCTCTTATCATAATGTGGTATGATTTTGAGATCCAATACCAGTGCACAGTTTCCATTGGCCAAGCGGATGCACTGTCACGCCTAATTGCTGCCCGCCAGCAAGAACATGAAGACACAATCATTGCCTCGATCGAGGTTGAACCTGACGTTAACTTCCTGGTAACTGATGCATTGCACGGTCTACCAGTTACCGCAGAAGCTGTACGAACCGAAACGCTTCGGGACCCAATACAAGCAGGTTACACGATTTCACAAAACAAGTTGGCCACGTTCATGTCCATCTGCCGAGTTGCAACAGTACTTCCAGAGGAGACACTCGCTCTCTATTGTGAACGACTGCATACTATTTTCGGAAAGAGTGGTCATCCCCAAGGCACTTCAGGAGCGTCTTATTCGGCTGTTTCACGCCGGGCATCCTGGAATCAAGCGGATGAAGGCGCTTGCCCGCAGTTATGTATACTGGCCCCTCATGGACAAACAGCTAGAAGAAATAGCTAAACGCTGCCAAAGGTGTGTCAATGTCCTGAAAGCGCCACAAAAATCAGTACTTTATTCATGGCCAAGAGTTGCTGAGCCATGGTGCCGCATCCATGTCGACTTTGCGGGACCGGTCAAAGGCCGAAGTTTCCTCATTATAGTCGATTCATACAGCAAGTGGCCTGGAGTATTTCTTATGGAGAACGCAACCACCAATGCCACCATATCGAAACTGCGCCAAACCTTTAGCAGATTCGGCTGTCCTGAGACAATTGTCACCGACAATGGCTCACAATTTACTTCAGCAACGTTTACGGAGTTTTGCAAGCAATGCGCCGTACAGCACGTCCGCTCGCCGCCGTTTCACCCACAGTCGAATGGCCAGGCAGAAAGGTTTGTCGATACATTCAAGCGAGCTCTCCACAAATCAAAAGGGGAGGGACATATAGAGGAGGTGATTGACCAGTTCCTTTTCCTCTACTGATCAACACCGAATCCACAAGCGCCAGACGGCGTCTCTCCAGCACAGGCCATGATGAACCGGAAGCTCCGCATGCCTTTCGACGCCATCCGACCGCGCTCGGAGCCTTCTGTTGATGAAAGAAACCGAAGAATGGAACAGGATTTTAACCGGCGGCATGGAGCAAAGAAGCGATCTTTTACACTTGGACAGAAGGTGCTAGTACGTGACTACTGGGAAAGCCATGCGAAATGGACGCCAGGGACGGTCAAAAGCAAGCGCGGAAACGTCATGTATGACGTGATGGTGGGCGCACAGATCTGGCCACGGCATGCAAACCAGTTACGGCCCACATCTTGCCAACCAGAACAAGCAAGGCCTACTGACCTACCGTTCGATTTACTGGTGGAAAGTTTCAACTTGCCGAAGGAAGCATTGGACGACTGCACACAGTCGAGCAAAGAATGCAGAACAAGAACATCGGAACAAAGTTCTCGGGCGCTTCTGCCAAGGAGGTGGGCCGACAGGCAGAGAACACCGTCCCGAAGATTGCAAGTTAATCCTAGGCTTTCGTCTTATACGTCGGACGATATCTCAGGAGGGGTGGTGTCCGGGAGAAAGTAAGAATTGCCTTGGAAATTCACTATTTTAGCGATTACTCGATTATTAACGATTATCGCATCGATTTCGAACGTTCCGGAATGTTCTTCTGCGCGTGATTAAAAACCACCTGACACCTGGGCAAAAGATAGGGGGAACCACTGACCTGGGTAGTTGACCTTCCAATTCCAGAAGTCGAAGATCAGTAGTGACCTATAAATACAGCCAAGGTCCGCAGTTGTTGTACAGTGTTCGTTGGCGGCGATTAATACATTATTTTGTCAAGGTCATTAGCGTTTTGTTTTTTTCCTTTGGTTGGGCTAGAAGTTTTGTGGAGCAGTGAATTGTTATTTTCGGAGTTGCGTCTAGTGAGATGATTATAACAGGTGTCCTAAGTCGAGCGCTTTTCTACTATCCTCCTTCATACCCAGCCGCCTTATTTGATCAAGTTGACGTCAACGAAGAACTCGAGAAGCTAAATACAAATGAAGCTAATGGTCCTGATGGCTTATTACCCGTGGTTTTGAAACAGTGCGCCGATTCCTTTACATTAGCCTTGGCTGATATTTTTAACAAGTGTCTCTACCGGTGTCATCCTCGACATCTGGTGGTCAGCCAGAATAACGCCAATTCCTAAAATGTAACCTCGCAATTATTGGCCTATTGCTTGTACTTCCGTGCCCTTAAAAGTCCTCGAAAAGCTACTAGTTCCACGGATTTCCACAGCCACTCGTGTTGGAGGTGTGTACCAGTTTGCTTTTGGACCCCAGCGCTCCACGCTTGATGCTGTCTCCTACCCTGTGCACTCAGTAGCTCCTGTGCTAGATTAAAAGGGCAGGTTCATACGACTTCTTTTTCTTGACTATTCAAATGCGTTTGGGAGTCAATCGATCAGTTTTACTCAACCTACTTTATTTGAACGGAGTCCACTCTGATATTTGTAACTTGTTGCATGACTATTTCACTGATCGTGTGCACTTTACCCAGTTAAACGGCAAAAGCTCCTCTATGTTCTGCGCTGACTGTGGTGTCTTGCAGGGCGCGATCCTCCCATCCCTTTTATTCTCTTTATATTGTCGGAAGTCTCCTCATACCATCAACATTCATTGGATGTAACTATGCTGACGATGTTGTCTTGGGGTGTAGATTTCCCACGTCTACACTTCATTATGTGTAGACGAACTTGTGAGTTGGTCCTCAACCAGGTATGTGGTGGCTTGCCGAGAGATTCCATAGTTGATATTATCGCTCGTAAGCATTTTGACGCTTGCATGAATTTTCTAAATGACCGCTCTCACCCGCTACATGATACTCTCTCACAAACGTTATCTGTTTTTCACGCACGCCCAAACTTTAGGATTTTCTTCTCTCGCACTTCTGCGTATCGTAACACAATCTTGCCTTATTTGTCACGCTATTTTATCGATCCTATGAAAGTCACAAATGCTTTGCGCACGTGGTTGCTTGAATGACATTCACATACCTTTGACTATCTAATTCTTCACTCTGTGTTTATGTATTTTTAACTTCTCCCATTCATTTGGTGTATCCGCAGTGATAGTGTAAATGTAGATAATGAATCTATTTAGGTGTGTCAAGCCTATTTTGACTTAATTCGACTTGAAAATGGTGATGGGAAATGGATCCATCGCACCTTTACCCGGATCACGATCATCTAAGCTAATTGTGCCTAGGCCATTAGTCATTTCTCATTATGGCACTGTCGTTTCAGTCGGTCACTGTTTAGCAGCTGATGGTAAGAAGTTCTGATACTCTAGATAACGTTAAACCCATCTAAGCTTCCTTTGTTTATCTGATTGATAGTGACGCTTACCGTCATTGCATACCATCTTGCATTCACTTCCCTTTGTGTTGCCTGGTAGTGTCCTCTTCTTTTACTCACACTGTGTCCTAAAAAGCATCTTTGCTTTCTGCCCCTCCCTACTTGTGTGTACAGGTTTTTCACGGTTCTGAACTGGATCTTATGTGGCTGCAACGCGACTTTAGCGTCTATGTTGTGAATCTGTTCGACACAGGTTTGGCAGCTCGCGCGTTGCAACTTGGGCATTATTCGCTAAGCTATCTTCTCCAGCGCTATGCCAATGTTCGGACCTGCAAGAAGTATCAATTGGCTGATTGGCGCATAAGGTAGTGAATTATTTGTACTGCGTTCTCATGGCTTTGTGGGGTCGGTGGACAACTCTTTCCACACACTTTTATCGAAACTGCTCATATCACAGAATCATTTTTCCATATTCCTTCCATATACACCAGGCCGCTTCCGGCTGAGTTGATCGAATATGCCCGAACGGATACACACTACTTGTTATACATCGGGAGTCTTCTCTGCCAAGAACTACAAGACCGCGGACTACTTCATGTCGTTTTGGAGAGAGGAAGGCAGATGTGTCTCAAGGTACGCTCTGCGTTTACTGCTTTTGTTCCCTTGGCATTCTGCTCGCTCGCTTTCTCGTCTGCTTCACAATTTTGCTGCTGTTTCTTGTGCAGCTCAACTTGCTGTGTCCATCCTACATGCATACAGTGCTTACTCGCTTGGTTCCTTCTACCAATTCAGTAGCTTTTGGGCTCTTTGTTAGGAAGCGGTCAAAAGTCAGTATATATATATATATATATATATATATATATATATATATATATATATATATATATATATATATATATATATATATATATATATGAAAAGTTATGTGGTTTATTCCTTGACTTGCTGTTAAACCGGTTCTACGTAGGTTGGCATCATTCTACTCAGACATCTCATACTCTTGCGCATTTATATGTACGCAGCTGCAAATGTTCCCACGTGCGCATCGCCACTGGTAGTCACAATATTGTAGTAGACAACATTTAAGGGTCCGAAAATTCCTCCGTTGCAGTTTACTGCGATTACTTTTGTTTTACACTGTGCATGGCGAAGCAAACGCACGATTTAGTCGATAACACATTCGAGGACCTTGTATTGCAGTGGAGGTGACAATTTGACGTTTTTGGATTTACTGATTCAGAGAAATACCGATAGAACACTGGAAACTTGTATATATCGGATGGGGGCGCACTGATCAAACTACCGCAGTAAGCGCCCCATTAACAATCACAGAAGTAGCTGCATTCGTTCTCTATTCAAGGGAGCAGCACAGTGAAACGGAGGAGGACAATTATCTACACAGCATGTTACAAAATAACGACTATCCACGAGACTTTACTAGAAGGTCATCGAGACGGGGAAAGCCTCAGCAGCAACAGACAACTAAACAGGTGGTGTTTCCATATATCAAAAACGTTTCTGTACCAGCGGTGCGATTACTACAACTACACAGAATCGAGGTAGCTCACGAACCAGATGCTGCCCCGAGAGCGTTGCTTTCAAAGCCGATAGACCAGGTAGACTGCAACTAATGTGACATATGCAACATCACGCAAACGGAAGTTAAACTTTCCATAGGAATCACAGAGCAGAAGGCGTGATTATTATCCGTTGGTTTCTATACACGAGGATAAAGCAGATCATCATGTTGACGTTGAAAACTTACGACCCGTAACCTTGAGGATCACAGGCCTACCTTGTAATCTGTGGGCACAGGTTCGAGCCTGCGTAGGGACCAGCCGACCCTCGTAGTACCCTTAGCCCACGTGCGACTGATGGTGGTTGCGCGGCAGCGAAGCGTCGCTACTGCGTATCGGCCTACTGCTGATACCTTTCTTTTCTTAATGACTTTCCTTGAAAATTTACTTGTGCTAACACTGGGGAGTGCGAAGCAGGCAAGACAGCTCTTAAGTATAGCGCTCCACAGGCCGTTCCATCGATCGAAACATGTCAAATACCCTTAATGAAGGACATCATACAAAAAGCTCAAACGACAGTTTCATCAGCGGAGACAAACAGGACAGGGTCACGAAACACGAGTTGAAGAGATCATTTTCAATGCTTTTCTCGTTGAGTAATCAGAACACGCGGTGCCCAAACGACCGATGACGATGACCTATAAAAACGCACGCGGGTGGCCACGTACTCGCACCTACTTGCACTTCGCTTCATTTCACTACCTAATTACACACTAATGTCGTCGCGACCGGTGACGAAACGTTTGCAGCAAAATCATCAAGTTCAACGAACAGTTCGTCAAACAAATGAATGAACTGAGCTACTTACATTTGCTTCTGTATCAAAACACTTCAAATTAACCCTTGCTCGAAGCAGTTCTGCTTACAGCACGCTGCTGTGTACTGATAAAAATTCTGGAGATTGCATCAAACTGATGGACATCATGGGTCATTTGGGGAATATGGCGGGTGTCAATTCCAGCTAGTTAATGAGGTGACTCCATGCTGGATAAGTGAATTGTTTTTCGGTACTTGCTTCTGGTATCACTTCGTTCGAGAAACGACAATAATCAGGTCACTGTATCTTTTGATCCATTACAATGGGACTTGATCTTATCTTCCTGCGGCAGGTTGCTTCCCTCCACGATCTCTTGTGCTACGCTGAGCTGTACTTTCCCAGTGTCTTCGGAACCACCCAAACCAAACAGATCAATGGTTAGTGGTCGGATAAGCTCAGTCCTAATGTCCTCTTCATCGGAATTTGCGGAAAGGTCGACCTCCCATTTCTTTCAAATCTGACCATTGAAGGTAGTGGGTTGTAGGTCATAAACTCAGATCGATTGGAGTGACACACGAACGTCACCTGTTACTGGCGGGTAAAAGTGCACCACCGCCTACTTCAAGCCGAGTAAGTCATCAGGATATCAACTCGCCAAATCCCACTTGTAGTTTTCTGTGGTCACAGTGCCGTAATTCACAGCGATCGGAAAACATGTGTGAATTTCTCTGCGTATCCCAAGCCTGCGTGTGAGGTACTTCAAGCAGATCACAACGGGGCTCTGCAATCACACTTCCGAGCTGCACTTGCTCTCCAGTGCCTTGTGGGCCAGGCTGTTGAATCAACCACTAAAAGTATGGAACCTCGAATAAAATCCCTCTCTCAGAATGGGTAAACGCCCATAAGCACTGTCACCAACACTCGTTCCTACTCTTTCGTCTACTTTTATTTTCACAAACCGGCTTCTCCTGTTAACCAGGTAGTATCGGCCAGTTGCCGAAAGTATTACACTCTTGCTTTGTAATCCTCAGGTTACCGTTTTGAATCCGCCTAGGTACAGTGGCCTCGGCCGGTGGTAGTCGCGCGGCAGCGCAGCGTCGGTGCGGTCTCCCTTACCGGGTAGTGATCAATACTGACTCCATAAGGCATACGAACAACAAAGCTGCTTTATCTTTCACATATGGAGCATCATTTTCCCTTGAGTGTTTTCACGTCCGCACATTGCACTCGTCGGAGCTGCTGTGTGCTGTGCCTCCGTGTCACAGTTTAGCAATTGTGGAAGTAACGCACTGTGGCTGGCTCTTAACTGAAGTATCATAGAGCAAAACATGTCAGGCACATGGAAGGCAAAACTGTATTCTAACCAGCATGTACAACGCATTGATCCACTTTTCTCAATTAGGCCAATCGATAAATGGGTGAGCGGGTTCCTTACACGCCAGCGGATGCAGGCAACGAACAGAAAGGGCTCAGTACATTGGCCGTAAGGATGCCACATTCGTTCTCCATTTAGTTTGGACCACTCCAACTAGCTTAGTATCGGTCGACGAGTCGGCGTAGCCGAGTTGAACGGCGACATTGCTGATCCTCCGGTTGGCCAGAGTTTTGAGAGTTCTGCGCGTTTGTCAACTCATTTTGCTGGTTTGAGGACGCGTCATCTGGCGGAGTTGAAACGGAACGATGACGGACGTGATCCTTGTGCCGAGTAACTACTCTGCCATCAGGTAAAGCCACCTCCGTATGTTGTCCCGCAACTTCGCGCAACTCTCCAGGCTGCCAGGTCGTTTCGTTGGGCAACGACGTAGACCGGTTCATTCCCGAAGAATCTTCGATCGGAGGCCTTCTAGTCGTACTCTGCCTTAGATTTATCTTGCTTAGCCTCGACACGTAGCCTCTGGTCAGGAAACAGAAGATCCAGCCGTGTCCTCAACCTCCGTCTGAACATCAACTCTCCTGGGCTCTTCTCCGTAGTTTCTTTTGGCGTGGTGCAACAGCCAAAAAGAAATTTCTCCAACTTTGTTCGCAGTGAAGCAGAGGTTTGTTTCCGTAACCCGTTCTTGACCGTCTGGACGGCTCTTTCAGCCAAACCGTTTGAAGCTGGGTGGTAGGGGGCTGATTTCACATGTATGCCGTTGCTTTTGAGGAACTCTTTAAATTCTTGACTAGTAAATACGGAACCGTTGTCTGTTACCAGCGTATGTGATTTACCGAAGGTACTGAAACATGTCCGCATGCAAGAAACGGTCGTCTCAGAGGTGGCATGTGCAAGAGGAGAAACATTTTTCCATCGAACGGGCCAAAGAACTCCGCGTGAATACCTTCCCACGGTTTACCGGGCCATTTCCAAGGACCAAGTGGTACAGTAGGGGCATTCCTCTGAGTGCTTTGACACACGCCGCTGTGTCATATCAACTCTTCGATATCTCTGTCAATATTAGGCCACCACACATAAGATCACGCAAGTGCCTTCATTCTCGTGATTCCTGGGTGTGTTTCGTGTAGTTCTTGTAAGACGTTCTGTTCCCACCGTGGTGGTATGATCGCCCTAGATCCCCATAACAAAACTCATCCTCGAGACTACGCTCTGTGCGTCGGATAAACTAGGACAGTAGTTGCGGTTCACAGCTGTCAGGCCAACCTTGAGAGACTAGTCGCTTGACTTTGGCCAGTAATGTATCCCGTTCAGTTTCCTGACGGATATCTGCATTTGAGACCGGATTTTCGCCCAAATGATGCAGCAAATGGACAAGCTCCACAATCTGGTAGGTGATTCAACGGTAAACGACGCCGAACGTCTGCAATTCTGTTTGCTTTCCCAGGGGCATAGGCGATCTTGTAATTGTAAGCGGAGAGTAATAAAGCCCAGTGTTGCATACGAGGTGACGCCATCTGGTTTATGCCTTTTCTTCTCACTAATCAGGGTTAACGGTAGCTTGTAGTCAGTAAAGATTTCAAATGTTCTTCCCAACAGATGGTGAATTTCTTAACTCCAAAGATAACCGCCAAAGCTTCTCTGTCGAACTGCGCATAGTTCTTTTCTGTTGGTGCCAAACTTCTGGTCGCGAAAGCTATTGGTCGCTCGGCCATGTTTTCCATTTGGTGTGACGGTACGGCCCCGAGCCCCGTGGGTGACGCATCGCAACGAAGAGTGGTCGGTTTTTTGGGGTCAGAATGCACTAACATGTTAGCATTACTAATAGCTAATCTGACATCATCGTAAGCTTTTTGTTGTTCATTGGACCACAGCCACCTGGTATTTTTAAGAAGCAAAGTATACAATGGTGCGAGAAAACTAGCCA